TATGCAAGCTATGGTTATTATAAACTATACAAATACTTGTCTTCTTACCCAAGGTGGGGCTATTTTGTGGGAAGTGCTTTCCCAAAATCAGAATCTTCTCCTCCAATTCAGTTTGAATATAAAATTATTTAGGAGAAATTACATCACTTCTCTAAAACCAAATTTTTAAAATCTCACAAATTAAAGCAAAGCACTGCTTTTAGCAAAACAAACGGGCATAAACCAATGAATTAGGAGGTGCAGTTTTTGCTGTTTGTCCAGGGTTAAATTTAATGGGGTGAGTCACTCCCCAAATAAAAAAGTAATATATCTCAGAAACACAAAAGCCCAATTTAATTTTAACAGCACAGATTAACGTGTTGGGAGTCATTGCTTCTTCAAGGAGCTTTTAGATAGCCAGTCATGTCAACTCATGGGAGGTCATGCAGATTTCACACAAACAGGTACTGTATCTGAGGCAGGAATTGAATACATGTTGCTGGAGTTAAATGCCCTAACACTGTGAAGCCCTTGTTTGCTGGTGTAACAGAAATAATATTTAGTTTTGTTTTTGTCTCTGCTTTTGTAATGTACACTATAACACTGCAAATGTTTGTTTTCAGAAAATATTAGGATCTGAACTAGATCCAAAGTTGCAGTACTTTGGAAGGTCTCTTGATGCTTATGGAGATTTGAACGAGGACACAATCCCAGATGTGTCTGTTGGAGCTTATGGGAATGTGATTCAGCTCTGGTAAGTTACTTCTGTGCTTATGTGTCTTGTAATGTCATTTGCAGGTTTCTTCAGTGCACATGCTGCAAATGCTGTGAGCTGCTGCTTTACAAGGGTGTTAAATGATATTTACCAGATATTTCAATTAGCTTCCATGAATTACAGGAGCTGGAGTTTTTCTTAGCTTTTATTACAGAGAGCAAGCAAAGAGAAGAGCAGTGTCTGAGTTTTATATTACAGAGCTACTGTAGATAATTTCAGTTCCAGTATTGTGACTTTTGCCAAAAAAGTGATATTGACCAATGAAATGCTAACCCATATGTTAAGTGGTGTTTTATCCATGTAGTCATATGAAAGATAATGTACTGAGAGGCATTGAAAACAAATTAGTATTGAATGACACATTAGTATTGGAACCTTTCAAGATTTTCAAGATTCTTCAAGATTTCCTTATTCACCATATACAACAAGTGTATTGGAATGCTTACATGTTCAGCTGTACCCAATAACATTAAAGAAAGAGAAAATAAATATATATATATATTTATTTTAATCAAATACATTAAAATAAAAGATGCACAAATGACTGACATGGACAATAAATCCTGACAACAGACATTATAATATAGCCAAGCCAGGACATAGTGCAAACCTATAACATTTGTTGTGTTTTTAATGCCACTTAGTAATATATATGTAGCATTTCCAAAGTACTGTTTATGTTTATTTCCAATGTCTTATACATAGGCTTTATTTCAGCAACTGTGAGTTCATGCAAAAAGGCTACTTACAACATTTAGGAACAAGTAATAGGTTTATTCCATGCTGAAAAAAAGAAGAAAGAGAACACAACGTTTCGGCAGTGGAGCCTTCTTCAGGTGTGAGAGAGACAGGGCAGTAGGCAAAGGTTAAGTAGCGGGAGAACAAAGGTTGGGAGGGAGGAGGAGTGAGAGGCGGGAGCAGGGGACAGAAAGAGAGGCCAATCAAGAGGTGTGAAGTCAGAATGGGTGCAGAGAGGTGTGAAATGAAACTTCCAATGAATGGAGAAAATTTAAAAGAACAGTAATCTGTCGTTAAGGGAAGGGAGAATGTGTGATCCTAGCTGCAGAATAATTTTAGTTTTGGTGGTCTTTCTGATGTATGAGTTTAGAAAACCGTCTTTGAGAACACAGACGGAGAGATTAGAGTGGTCGTGGCCGTCAGAGGTGAAATGAGAAACAATGGGCTTGGAGAGATCTTTAATCTTCACAGCCCTGACATGTTCTCTGAAGCGGTCTCCGAGTCTCCTTCCTGTTTCTCCAATGTAGATGGCTGGGCATTTACTGCAAGAGATACAGTAAATAAGGTTGCTGGAGGTACAAGATGCTGTCTGGGTGATCCGGAATTGTCCTGAGGGGCCTTGAATGAGTGTGGTGGTGGCTGTGTACTTGCCCTTAACGACAGATTACTGTTCTTTTAAATTTTCTCCATTCATTGGAAGTTTCATTTCACACCTCTCTGCACCCATTCTGACTTCACACCTCTTGATTGGCCTCTCTTTCTGTCCTCTGCTCCCGCCTCTCACTCCTCCTCCCTCCCAACCTTTGTTCTCCCGCTACTTTACCTTTGCCTACTGCCCTGTCTCTCTCACACCTGAAGAAGGCTCCACGGCCGAAACGTTTTGTTCTCTTTCTTCTTTTTTTCAGCATGGAATAAACCTATTATTTGTTCCTTTGCAGCCTACGCATGCTGACGCAGCTACCCACCTGAACATTTAATCATGTCAATTTTATTTTAGGTCACGAAGACTAGCCACAGTAAATGTAAACACAACTTTCACACCTGATAAAATCAGCATTCTTGACAAGAACTGTGACATAAATGGGAGAAAACTCTTCTGTTTCGACACCAGAGTGTGCTTCAGGGCTTTGTTTAGTCCCAAAACACCCATTGGTCCTGTAGGTAAGAGCACATTGTTCTGACTTTTTGAAAGGGATAACATTGTTTATCAATGTTTATATAAGATTTTTTTTTCAAATAAACTTCTTGTTAATCAAACAAAAACATTATAAGAACAGAAGCAAGGTTACAAACGAGAGGAGGCCATTCGGCTTATCAAGCCCATTTGGTAATTAGTAGCTATTTGAATGAAGGATCTCATCCAGCTGCTTCTTTAAAAAAACTAGGGTATTAATGACAACAACATGGCCGGGTATCGTGTTACATGCTCCCACAGCCCTTTGGGTAAACAAGACCCCCCTGTCTTCCATTTTAAATGCACATCCACATACTGTAGTTTCCAGTTGTGCCCTCTTGTTTGTATTTAACTATTTATTCACACTGTTCAGATCACTACAATAGTCAGCATTTTATCTCACTCCTGCTCTGTCCTTGGTTCTTTACAATTAAATTAAATTAATTAATTAAATTAAATTAAATTTTATGTTTAGACTCTCAAAGCATTCCTTTCCTTTTTAGCCATACAGTACAACTTAACACTTGATGCAGATCTCCAGTCTACTCGAGTGAGTTCAAGAGGTTTGTTCCTCAAAAACAATGAACGGCTTTGGCAGAAAAATGTTCACATTCAGAGTGAAGACATTTGTGAAAAATATACAGTATATGTTCAGGTAAGTGGAAAAAATAATTTTACTTAACTGTGACAAATAATATACATTAAATGTTCTGTTCTAAGATGCCTTTGAAGTGGATGTAGCAGGTCAGACTATAAAGAGGCTGTGTGGGGGTTAGGTATTTGGTGGTGGTTAGGTACACATTCTCACATAGGCCTAATTAGTGGTATTTTGACGACAGTGTGAGTTTGTGGTGATGAATTTGATAGGAGTCTGGGTCAGGAGTCTTTTTTTGTATATCTATTGAAATATTTATTTATACCAAATAAATGAATAATAAAGCCTCCTGCACTGTTCAGTATTTTGCTGCTATGTGTTTTTATATGTTCAGTTCACTACAGCCATCTTAGTTAAGGGTGGTGTTTGCATATTCTCCCTGTGTTCACATAAGTTTTCTGTGGTTCTCCAGTTTCCTCCAACCTGCCAAGACATGCTTGTTAATTGGTGTGTCTAAAGTTTACGTGTGTGTATATAATTGTACTGTATGTCTGTGTCACAGAAGCACTGTGATAGACCTGATAATCCTGCCACGCTCAGTCTTATCTAGCACCGTTCGATTGGAGGAATGGCTCTGGCTTGTCAAGACCCTTTACAGACCCTTCAGACCCTTTCATACAATGCATAGGTGGTCACCCAAGATAAACACTAGATTAAGACTCTCAATCAATGTAAAAAATAAATTAAGCTTTTTTATCATTCACAAGAGCATATAGCCTTTATATACCTCAAGTTGAGATTTCTAAAAAAAATCAGCCCAGTTTCTCATTTCAGACTCAAAGTTAACAGTTCACTCTCAATTATAGTATATCATGAAATCTAAGGAAGTCTAAGAATGTGAGTCACAAGTACTTTTGCGAGATTTATTTTCACACTATCTTATTTATTTTTGATCCTGTTTCTCACTCTCACACATACAGTATACCATGTCTACCTATCATTGAAATAAAGTGTTGATGTGCATGTGTTATGCAATTTGCAGTTCATAAGTAAAGACGTTGAGTACAGTGATATACGCTTATTTCAAAATGAGTAAAATCATTCTCTTTTTAAAAAAAAAACAGGAGGCTCCTGACGTTATGAAACCCATTGGTGTCCGAGTTGACATTGCTCTTCAGAATCCAAATGGCAACCCCGTGCTCAATGTATATGCACCCAGTGCCTGGGAGTTCTCTGTGAGTTTTGCTGGCGCTAACATTTTGAGTAGAAAATATTTGGTTATAAGGACTTCAAACTATGGGTTTAAATATTTACTTCCTTATAAATACTGAATAATGTTCAGTTAGAGATCATTGGAATCATAAATAGGGAACTGTTATTTTTTTATTTGTGTTATCAACTGTCTGTTCAATGCAGAATGAGTTAAAACACTAGCTTTTTTACTGTTTGTCAACACTGTGTTTTACATTTTTAAAGAGGAAGGAAAGAGAGGTACATTTGTAGTGACAGAGTTGCAGTTTTGTCAGTGATTTGTGGTATAGACACCTTTAACACCTAACTAGGTTATTAGTGTATCATCCCCATCTAAGTTGTAATCCACACAGTATGTTTTTTATGTGTTCGCAGATTCCCTTTTCAATGGATTGTGGAGTCGATGAATTGTGTTTATCAGACCTCACACTGAATGTGAGAAAGAAAGATATGGGCCAAAGGTTAAGCCTTTTCCTGTTTAAAAATACAAACGTTAATCCCAGCTCAATGTTTAGAAGTTATGATGTTTTCTCTGAAGTTCTTATTATTTGTTTTCTTCAGTTGTTATCAATTGTTATTCTGGACTGCTTGTTTCATTTCTCCTATCACTGGAACATAGTTGTACACATAAAATCAAGTGGTGGTCAATAAAAAAGTCTAATTTATTTGCTATTTTTTACAACTTTTAAATCAGAGCCCTCTTTTAAAAATGTCTTGTAAGGCAATCAGTTGTGCATAGTTATAAATAAAACTCACAAGGCTTATGGTACAGACATAAAACACAGGATATGAAATGAAGTAGGATGGATGTAAGTTCATTTGTCATTTGAGATGGAAAAACAATTTTTGCAAAGGATCTCTTAAAAAAATTGCAACCCTCTTAACTTTTGAAAAACATTGCCGTTCACAGTTCAAAAATATTAAGATATTTTAATTACACCGTTCTCTCACTATGAGGGGACCTTTAGGAAATGTGACTTTTTAAACTAACAGGTAGGATGAATGAAGTCTGATAGAAATTAACCATTCTAGAACTTTGTAGAAACCCAATAAAACACAAATTTGTAGAGGACAATGAGGGAAACTGGTACAAGTACAGAATTCAGATTCCTCAAGCCAAACTGACTGGATTTCTTCTGACTGAACAGTGAAAGAGAAACCTTGGGACACATTATATTTCTAGTAAAATATATTATATTACATTATATTTCACCACTTTGTGGTGCTTTTGTTTTCTAGCACTTCACCACTGCTTGTGAGCTCCAAGAACAGACGGATCTCTTTTGCAGTGGAAGTGGAAAATAAGAAGGAAAATGCATACAATGCAAAGATCACTGCCACTTACTCCAAAAACTTGTTCTTCTCTTCGGTAAGTCAGACCGTGGCGGAGGAATACTCTTCATGGTTTAGAATTTCAACTCTTTAAATGCAATTTTTTTTTTCTTTTAAAGCACATGAACTATAACCTTTCTTATGTAAGGGTGCATCAGATAAGACAAAGACTATTGACAGACTTTGGCTGGGGCCATCCAAGGACATTCTTCTTGTTAAGCCACCTCAATGTAGCTTTGGCCTTGAGTTGGCCTATTTGTTGTAATTCACTAAAAAGGAGAGTGTACATAGACAAGTCCACTACAACTTGAGATAATTTTAGTACAGTGTGTATCTAAGGCACTTATTTTAACATGTTTTGAAAAGAATATTAATTGTCATACATCTGTATTGTCAATGTGGCAGGGAAGGGCACTGCAGAATGTGTTGACAAAACATTCTCACAAAAAGTTTGGCATGTGGAACCATGATCATTGACAATACAACAAGAAGGTGAAATCTGATTTTTTATTTTAATAGAGCTCTAAACTACACAAACTACACTAGTATTTTATTAATCGGACCATTTTAATAGATTTTTGTTGTTAAACTGTTGGCAATTTCATTTAACTTCACAACTTTCAATTTTAAGAAACTCTAATGAAGGACAATTTTATTTTAATTAACGGACCAATTATGCTATTGAGAGTTAAGGTTGGATGAAATCCTGAAGACCCTGTGTCTCCTTTTGTGTCTTTTGTGGGTTTGAAGCATCCTGGAGTGGTGAAAGAATAGACAGACATGTGGATTAGGATATGACGTCTTTTTTGATTTGCCTATTATTTTTTCATATTTTTGGATTCACAGTTGTGCTCTTTCTTTTTCCATGCTTCTCATTGTGAGGGTGTAATGGGCGAAGAAATCATTTGCATTATTTCAAAGTATTTATTTCTAATCTAATCTAAGTTATGGTAGTGGTATTACTACACAGTGCCCAAGAAATGTATGCTTTTGTGATGTTTAACATTTACTTGACCAAGGCAGCTCATCAGGCTAGAGCTCATCCCACTTCGTATAGTGTTAAATTGACTGAAAGAGCATTACTCTCCCCTTGATCCCTTCACGTTAGCCCAGATGTTTTAGCCACTACTACATTCTGACCCCTACTCTGTGTGCAACAGTATTAAATGTTAAATTAAAGAGGTTCCCCATGGGGTGGCATAGTGGCGCAGTGGTTAGCATTGCTGCCTCACAGTGCTGGGGCCCTTGATTCAGTTTTGGACCTGGGGTGCTATCTGCATGGAGTTCACATGTTCTCCCTACGTTCACATGGGTTTCCTCCAGGTGCTCTGTTTTCCTCCAACTGAGTAAAGACATACTGGTAGTTAACTGGCTGCTGGGAAAATTGGCCCTGGTGTGAGTGTGTGCTTGTCTGTCTGCCCTGCAATGGACTTGCATGTCATCCAGGGTGTATCCCGCTTTGCGCCCCTTGGTTGCCTGGAGAGGCTCCGGCTCCCCCAAGACCCTGTATTGGAACAAGGGGTTAGATAAAGGTTGGCAAGTGGAGGTTCCCCATGCCCAGTCCTTACTCATGTAGACTGCATTTAAAGGAACAACATCTTACCAGCTTTTGCATTACAGACTGATGGCTCTGGGGTAAAATGCACATTGGAGACAACAGAAACTGTATCTTGTCAGGTTGGATACCCTGCACTTCTGAAAGGAGAAAAAGTGAGTTTGTCATCACCTTTAATGCCTTTTAATGCTTCTAGAGCAGTAGATAAGCGAATAAATGAAAATAAATACAATAATTGAAGTCCCTGGCAACATATATGAGTTAGTTTAAAATATGGTCAATCAATAAAAAGAGTTTGATTGATCACATGCAACCTGTACCTCACCTTAGGAGCCACCACTGTTGGAAAGTAGTGACTGAAAGTATTTCTTGTATTTTTAGATGAACAAGAGTGCAACTTACATGACTGTCACGGACGTCCAAAGGGACTAACCGTGGAGAGCAGGAGAGAGGAAAAAGACCCATATAGTAGCGGCGGAACGGGAAAAAGGCCCCGGTTCAGGAGTGAAGTATAGAAACCTATGCCCTCAGGTAGCGGATGTGGGGCGACCTGGTTCTAGGCGGGTCTCAGGACATCCAAACGTCAATGCTGAGCGAGGGCAGAGTGCAAGACCCGGAAATATATAGCCCAAAGGAAAGAGAGGGACCGGAAGGACAGCAGGCAGGAAACTAGGGACAGGACAGAGAAGGAGCGCCCTCTGGCTGCAGAGGGTGTGACAATAACTTTATGACAAAGCTTTCAGGTTATTGAATATGAAAGTACAATTGATCTACACACACATTAATCAATATTTTTTATTTTGTTAAAAAGGTGTCATTTGAGATCACTTTTGATTTCAACTTCGATCAACTGCAGAATGTGGCTTATGTGAACTTTGTGGCTCTAAGGTAGGACCTGTAATGTGCCGCTATTTCTTTCCTTATTTCTCTTTAGTGTAATTAATAGTTTAATCTACTTTTCTTTTTTTCTCCAACAGTGACAGTGATGAAGTCAATCCTACCGATAATGCAATGAATATCTCCTTTCCTCTTCAGTATGACTCTGAAATTATTTTGACTAGGTATGTTGACTTCTGTTAATCAATTGTGCCCCTTTACTATTGTACCAAAACTTTGCTACAAAGTCAAATATTTGTGTATGTTATTATCTTTTTAATTAAGTTTATCTTACATTCATTTTAACTTTAACTTTTTATATAATGAGCTTAAGTTATTTGTGTGACTATATTTTGAATTTTAAGAAGTATTAGATAATTAAACACTTAGAAGTTTTTCAGTGAACTTATTCAAGATGATTTCTTAAGAGCTTTGCATCTCCTCTATAACGTAACCCATTGTTAACATAGTTGATGGAATGCTTACCTGTACTGTGTAGTACTGGTACTAGGAAGTGTCCCTGAGATAATTAATCCCTTACAGATCAAGTGGAGAAATTAGGTTTACTTCACCAGTTGAATTTAGGGGGAAATTTAAGAAGGGTGGAGCCCAAGGAGGAATTTAGCAGTGACACATGGGGTAACACCCCCATTCTTATGAACAGTGCTCTGGAATCTTGGTTACTGTATCAATGGGAACAACTAACTGCTCACCTACATCCCCACAGAAGGATAGACAAAAAGATAACAATAAGTTTTCATTCTTCAGTTTTTTCCCCAAAATAATGTTAATTTGACTGCTTCCTAATTTGCTCCATAAAGCATGGTGTCAAGTATCAAATTAGCAATCTTATTTCAGACTTTTACCACTGTAATCTCATCCTCATAACTCCCTCAAAACCTTAGTTTTTTTTTCTTTTTTTCAGAGATACCAATATAAATTTCTATGTAATTAACCAGGATAGCCTAATACAAACTGCAGTGAACAGTTTTGATGATATCGGTCCAGAATTCAGCTTCACACTAAAGGTTAGTAATAAAACTTTGTCTTATTATCCATTCATTATAAAACTAAGAAACAAACAAGAATGTGGTAGTTCCAAGTTTCCATCCAATTTAGAAATAAATAGGAAATGCAAGAGACAAAAACATCAAATTCGCAAGGGGTTTTGTGAGTATATAAGAGATCTATTAAAAGTACTGAGTGGAAAATAAAAGGCATCAGTTAGTCTGTAACACTAGTTTTATTGTCCATTCATTGTGTGGTTGTGTTTATATCCAATAAGATATACATCTTATAAGAATCACATTTCAGGTTTATAAAAAGAGCGTGCAGTCCCTTATGAGACTAAAAATGATTAATTCCCTGTTTTTTATTTTTATTTTTTATGGAATATTAACTATTAAACATTAATTTGGGGAGCAAAAAAAATATTATTTAACAAAACCCTAATTCCACATAAGAATACATAATATACAAAATGCTTTTTGGAAGACTACCAACTGGATAGCTAAACTACTAAATTTTCTCCCATATTTTCAGTTTTTTTACCTTGTTTCCAAAGGCCCAGGACACTCATTTACATTTGTTCTTACCACTTATCGTTCTGGGTGTACTTAGTCATTTGTGGTACGGCTGTTGCACCAAAAAAGGGTTAAGGGACATGTGGTCCTCTCGGTGATCCCTAGTGCTTCAACATGAAATTGCAAAAAACAAAGGCTGCACCATCTGTTACCATCTGCAACATTCGGTACATACTTAAATGTATTTTTGAAGTTGGAAAATCATCATCTGTTTTATCTTTAAGGTGTCCACTGTGAATTTTCCGATCAGCATGGCCTACCTCACAGTTTCTCTGCCAGTGTCAACTAAAGCAAACAATCCACTGTTGTACTTAACAGGAGTCAGCACTGGAACGGTAAGTTGTAATTATTCCCACTTTTTTGAATTTGTCACTGACTGCAATGTCCATATGAAAATGGCAGTGGATATTTTTCTGCAAATCGGCTATCCATACACACAACCTGTCGCCGCTGTTTTGGGGGATTGCCAATGAATGCTAGAGGGTCAGTTAGTACTCACTGGGACAAAAGTGTACCGTATCTCTGTAGACCAGTGGCTCCGGCCCTGTTTCCAGTGTCTAATTCCAGCCCTGTAGCCCTGTGTGTGCAGCACCTAGCACACATCATCAAGGTCCAGTACTTAACCTGGAGGACCACTGTGTCTCCTTGTCTCCTGGATTTTGTTCCAGTAGAGCTGTTAATTGACAGTGATAACTGATGTCTTTAATCTGCTTGCGTATTTAGACTTTTTAGTTTTCTGCATATAAGTTCAGCAAAATCCTAATTTAAGTCTGGTTTTCCAACAACAGTCTCTCCTTAACTTATTTATTAAAAAGTTGTCCCCTTATTTCTGACTTAATAGATCATTTAAAAATGATGAACAGAGCACTTTAAATGATAATGTGTCATTTTTTACATTTTCCACAATGAGCTTTTTTTTTATTTCTGGAGACATCTAATAGGTTACATTACAGGTACGGGGACTGAATCATGGAAGTCCTGAAACACAAAAATTGTCTTTTCACTCAGAAAGTGACATAATTTACAAATACCATTCAACCTTTTAAGATCTGAAAGCAAACTTAAAATTTCCCCCCAGCTAATGTAAATTTATTAACCTGCAATAATTACTGTACCTCCAATGAAACGAAAGCCAGCAGAGACAGGGGACCCACAGGACCAGGTTTGGGAAACACAACAATAATGTCATATTAAGTGTATTTGTAAATGTCTGCAATGTGATCATACTCCAAAGATGACCACCCACACAACCTAACACAGGAGTAATAGCAACCTATCTAGCACGGATCTTTCATTGTCATTCATTTGACATTTCCCATAACGTTCCAACATATACTGTTCGACAGAACCTAGACAAAACCCAGAATACGGGAAACTTTTTCCTTCTTCCCTACCCCTGTCTTTAATTCTCACTATATTTTCACCCTTCCCTGGGTCTTAACAATTACATTTATCCTAATCCTACTCTGAACCCTAATGCTAGCCTTAAATCTATCCTTTAAACCTAAGCATAAACGTCACCCTAACCTTAATTTTCTTAATAACTTTAACCTTAACCTTTCCCTAACCTTAACTACAATTTTCACTCTGTCCTTGATTCAGACTCTGACTCTTGATGTAACAGCCACTGATAAATGTTCCCTGAGCCTTGACATCATTGGGAAGCATGCACACATGACATACACTAGACATTCACCTCTGAAGAATGCTCATCAACAAAATATTGTTTCTTCTTTCTGCTTTTCAGTGTTGAATTAACCTTTACTTGTTTCTTTGCAGCCAACACTGGCTTACACAGCTCCCCACTCAAAATACACCATATGCTAGCTGGATGCTCATGAAGATGGAGCTGTATCATCATTTTTCTAAGAAGCAATTTTTCAGTGTTTGATTTATACAATCTTTTTGATTATATTAAAAAATGAGCAGGCCATGTTCAAATACTATGTTAATGGTTTTTTGTTGCAACATACTGTAGTTAATATTGTAGCGTCCTCGTTGCTTTCGCCTCAGGTCAGCCCCCCACTGGTGGGGACTCGAACCCGGGCCTCTGGCATCACTCAACAGGGACCCAGCCAGTTGAGCTAAAGGGAAATCTCCCATCAGCCCAACGGCTGCGGTCCCTGCTATTCACAGGGAAGGGTGGTGACATCACCGCGCTGGTAAGCCGGCTCACACAACCTGCAATGTCGGCCGTATGCATTACACTCTCCCCTGCTTAATTTGCCATTAAGCGAAGGCGAAGGGCTATCCCATCCCGCTACTAACACCAATGTAGCGAATTCAGGTTCGGCGAGGACGGACTCAGTGATTCAGACACTCGTTGAGTAGAGAAAACAGCGCTTTTATTAAACTTCGGTACAACCAGCACAACACACCTGCGCCCGCACGCCAGCAGAGAAAACAAAAACCAGAGCGGGAGAGAGAGAGCGACACACGGTGCAAAACCAGGGAAATATTTACACGGAAACGGGCGATCTCCCCAGACTGTACACACATTTCACAGTGGGTCAGCTGCACTGGTCAGCAGCTTTCCTAATTCCCGCCCTGACTACTACTACTCCCGTCCTGCCCCTCTTCGCATACCGTAGCCGGGGCGCTCTTCAGCCGCAGTGCCAGGCAAATGCACTACACCAGTGGTTCTCAAACTTTTTGGACCAAGTACCACCCCTAATCCAAACAAAGCATCCAAGTACCACCTACAAGTTATCTTCTCATAGGAACCCCAGAAATTCTCAATGACCAACATGAGTGTGTGTGCACACACACACACATACATATAATAAATATTATAATAATAAACTTTGATATAGCGCCTTTAAATGTGGCTTCTCAAAGCGTTTTACAGAAAAAAACAGTAACAACAACAAATAAAAATAATAAAAAAGCACCATTTCAGTGAGAGGGGTGAGCCTGTTTAGTCGAGCAAAGCAGATGTGATTTCATTTTTCGAGCCTTGATACAATTCACAACAGAGTCTAACAGGCATTTTCTTGATGGTAAAGCTCTCGCGGTGAATGTTGCAATGTGTCCATTCATTTCTGGAGCAACCTCTTTAATTCGTGCAACTACACCGCTATGTCGGCTTGTCATCGCTCTAGCACCATCTGTACAAACTCCGACACATTTTATCCAGTCGATGCCATTCTCTTCGAAAAATTAATTCAGAAGCTGAAATATGTGCTCTCCTGTAGTTCCTGTTGGTAGCGGCTTACAGGACAGAAAGTCCTCATGGGATGTACCCTCAAACTCGTATGTAACGTAAACGAGTGAATTGGCCAAATTGACTACAGACTCAGCTAATTGCAGTGAAAAACATCTGCTCATCTTAATGTGCTCTATCAGCGTACTTTTGATATCATTTCAATAATTCTATGAATGACCTTGTCTTTCAGGGGGGCAGCAGGTCGAGCTGTTTAGCAGTGTGGAGCTTACCTGCTTTAGCAATCTCCAGCTTGCATTTTTCCCCGTTTCCGTTTTTATTTCATGCGCACGGGAGCGAAACGCAGAGACGATCAGTGTATTTTTCTCAAATTAACTTAGAACAGTTCTTAAATATTTTTTGTTATCTATCACGTTTTCCTGTGCTCACAAGATTACAAGCGTTAGTAGCACGTATTTCTATGCATTCCTGTGTTTACATCATTGGCATTGTTCTAAAATCACGCACATTCTCCTACCTCCCTATTTGCTGGAGATAGTTTTTTTTAAATACAATTGGTCACTTTGTCCGTAGCACGCATTCCTATAGAGTGGTATAGAATTACAGAGTATCTCTTGTGTCCACTGAAGTATTAGCGCGCACTGTATCGCAGTACGTAGGCTGCGTATTCGACACGTATTAAAATAGAAAATATGAAAACTGTCCCGATTTTTCAGCGCACACAACAAAGTTCTATGGATCATATGGCGTACCAGCTGGCGGCGCTCCACAGTTTGAGAACCACTGCAGTACACTATCCACTGTCTGATTTCAAATTTAATATCCTGCCTTACTGAATACTGTAGTTTAGTAGTTGCATTATTAGTTCACATTCCATTGCAACAATCCAAAATATCAGTATATATGAAATAAAGGGTATCTTGGATGATTTCAGAAATGTCCGTTAAGTAATTTTAAAGATCTGTACTATTATGATTTATATTTCAGGTTTCATCTTCTTCTACAATCCTGGTTTTCTGAAAAATGATGGGGTTTTTCCAGTTAAATTACAGAGTATTTTGAAGCTTGTTGATAGGGATTGTCTGGGTCATCTCTTACAGGGCAATGATTTGAGCTGCCAGACAAGTGGTTTGGTGAACTCACTGAAAATAACAGAGAAGCCCTATACTGCTTCTTTCTCAAAGGAGAGCTTCAGAGGAACAGAGGAGCTGGTAAGTATTAGACTTTAAACAAGTTGGACATCTCCAAAATATTAAGATTTGAATGAAACAAAGTTCCTATACAGAGATTAAATTATATTAATTATAATTGTTTTGAGTAATTAAAATGTATTGAGTAATCCTTAGCATGAAAAGGCTGCACAAGTGCAAATTTGTTGAGGGTTAATATAATATCACGGAGAACATTCAAGGCTCCTGTAATGCACCCATAACCAATAGACCATGCTGCATATAATTAATAATTATTAATTTCTTACACTTATATAGCGCTTTTTTGGACACTCCACTCAAAGCGCTTTACAGGTAATTGGGACTCCCCTCCACCACCACCACCAATGTGCAGCATCCACCTGGATAATGCGACAGCACCAGAACGCTCACCACACATCAGCTATTAGTGGGGAGGAGAACAGAATAATTAAGCCAGTTCATAGATGGGGATTATTAGGAGGCTATGACTGCTAAGGGCCAATGGGAAATTTGGCCAGGATGCCAGGGTTAAACCCTACTCTTTTCAAGAAACACCCTGGCATTTTTAATGACCACAGAGTGTCAGGACCTCGGTTTTATGTATCATCCAAAGGACAGCACCTTTTTACAGTAGTGTCCCCATCACTGTGCTGGGGCATTAGGATTCACACAGACCGCAGGGTGAGCATCCCCTGCTGGCCCCACTAACACCTCTTCCAGCAGCAACCTTAGTTTTTCCCAGGAGTTCTCTCATCCAGGTACTGACCAGGCTTACACCTGCTTAGCTTCATTGTGAGTTGCAGAGTGATACAGCTGCTGGCTGATTGGATATCAGATGCAATATATTGTTTTTATCTAAAAAGTGCTTATCTGTGTACTAACATTTTTTCACAAACTTAAAAAATAAAGCAAAAAATTAAATATACTAGAAGTAGTTAGGGATTGGCTTATCACCACTTATAAGAGGCAGGAAAAAGCAGATTTCAAGTCTGCAAGGATTTAAATTGTTTCTAAAACAGACTGAGCTAATAGTTCAGCAGAGTGGATATTAGATGAGCAGTAAGATTTATTTTAAACAAATGTTTTGGTACCTTCATGACTTCACCTGGTACTTATGATTCAGTAACTGCCTGTATTGTAAAACTGAAGGTACCAAATAGATTTTGACTGAAACAGCATGTTTCAGCTATTATCATAGCAGCCAATACAGGCAGAACACAAAAACAGAGAACTGCCTGCTGAAATCAAGTGCAGAGAATTCAGTGTGTACTTCAGATGCAGCTGCACAGCTCAGAATAGTACTACTGCATAGTGTTATAAAATCTATGCAATGAAGCAGGAACTAATGAAAGAAGTTTCATTTCAGTTACATGTTTTTTTTTATTGCCTAGTCCTTTAGCTAAAGGTAATTTCAATGACACACTGTATTATGTCATAGTCTTGCTTTTTAATTAGGGGACTTGAATTTTGAAATGCTCAGAAAAGAATTAAGTTAATTATTGTTCTTCTATCTCACATGCAGGATTGCAATAGTGCAAAATGTGTGTTCCTGAAATGTTTTATTAAAGATCTAAAACGAACAAGCCACTACTTTCTGAATATTACAACAAGGATTTGGAACGGCACATTTGCCTCTGTAAGTATTTACAATAGTATTTGCTATAATATTTGTTCTGAAAATATTTATATAGATTCTGTTACTAACTTGTTCTAATTTGTTTTCCATCTTTTGCAAAAAAAATGTGATTCATCACTTTGAAAGACTGCATTGTTAATGTGTATATTACAGATTACAGTTTGAGAAAATGTATCAATGCATTAACACATGATATTAATTTTGTTTCTTGGCAGTCAACATTCCAGTCTATGAAGCTTACCGTAAGTGCAGAAATAGAAACCTCACAGCCAGAATTATTGATCATCAATCAGAAAAGACTACCGGTATGTTATCTGTTTAACAGCAGCATAATCCGTAACTGTACAGGAAAAGTCCATTCTTTTCCTATAGTTAAAGACTTCTGTTGATGATATTTAAATCCCTTCTGAAGACTGTCAAATTTTCTCTTGAAAATATTTGATTTTCATGTAGAAGTATATTTGTGCATGTAAAGACATTTTTTATTTGGTTGCAATGACACTTCGTGGCCATGTGTGGAATTACAAGCTTGCTTCAACAATCTCATGCACACATTCATTGCTATTTGGGTTCAAAATGAGAATAACCTTGTGAAATAAAGTTGATAACGCTGTTTATCAAAATTTCTAACAGCTATCCACATCAGAACTGACCAATTGTGTCCTAATCTCTAGATACAAGTTACCATCAGTAAACCAGGTGAAAAAGGAGAAGTTCCAGTAGGAGTGATAGTTGGCAGTATAATTGGAGGGCTGCTCCTGCTAGCTGCCATAGTTTTCATCTTGTGGAAGGTAAGGAACTCTAATAAGACTTATATATTTTACTTTTCTGAAGCAAAGAAATACTTTATTTAACCTACAACTGCGACTTCACCTAAATTGTAAATCATTTTACTGATCCTGGAAAACTGCTGTCACTCTTGGTTTGCATACTTTCTTAATGACCAAATTGAGTTTATTTTAAATGGTCCAGTTTAACTCTTTACAAAGGTATCGGGTGTTAATAATTTAAAGACCTCAAGAAAATCTACTGGATTCTGGCCCTCAAGAGCTGCAGTTGTACAGCTATATTGGAGTAGTTTAGGTAGGTTGCTCCGTCAGCATGCGTACGCTGCAAAGGAACTAGTAAAAGTTTATTCCATGCTGAAAAGAAAAACAATGTTTCGGCTGTAGAGCCTTCTTTGGGTGGGAGAATGAGAATGAAATCCAAACAAGCTATATTGTATACAGTACATAGCACTATAATATTGTTTTCCTTGTTTTCCTGGCTTTGATGCAAGGTGAAGCCTTGTTTTATTTAAATAAAAAAGCATAAAAGGAGCTATAATTTTCTGTTCTCTTTTTTTCTTATTTTTTCTTATTTTTCTTATTTTTTATTTTTTAAAATATTTAGGGCTCCCTCTCAAAAGTTAGTATTTTACAATAAGAACTCTGGCAATGATGCAAAGAATATTGTCCAGGCTTCAGTTTTGCAAGGTCTTAATCAAGATATTTCAATCAAGTGGTTCTACTAATATGTTTTCAGGTGCCTTTGAAAGCAGTTCACTCAGGAGACATTTTGATGATTTCTCATTGAAGTTCGCAAACAGGTTAATTAGGATAAAGTGTTATAATTAGTTAAACTATTCATTAACTGTACACAAATACTGTAGCTTATAGAACAACACTTTGTAGACTGGACATACTGACACAGGCACACAAACAACTAAGCTACCAGTATGTTTGTGGACTGTAGGAAGAAACCCGAGCACCTGGAGGAAACCCACTTGAACACTGGGAGAACATACAAACTCCCCAGTACTGCAAGGCAGTAGCGATAATCACTGTGCCATGTTGCCATCTTGGAGGCATTACTCATTTTATTTTAGCACTTTAAATTGAACAATCCATGAAATGTTAGAGAATTTCTTTGATAAATTTGTGCATATTGACTGTTGTGTTTGTACATAAATATAGAGAGAGCTGATACACTACTGTATCACTGTCCTAAAACCTTCATTATGTCATGTTTGTTGATTGCAGTGTGCCACCTTGTACAGTATATTCTCTTCCAATTCTTTTCCAGCTTGGCTTCTTCAAAAGTAAGTATGAGCAGCTGATGAAGGATGCTGAAGATGCAGAGAATGAGGAACTTCAGGGGAATGCATCATGAGTGTACTGTAGGTTTACAGGATAATTAGATGAACAACAATGAAAGCTAGCTTAATTCTTACTGTTTCTTTTAATGTGGTCAAAAGGGAGTTTTATGTACAGATGCAGCCATTCAAAATGTGCAGTGCCGTCGTCTCCGCTTTAAAGGTACCCCCGTGCTGGAAGAATTTGACCTCGGAACGTTTGCCCAGCATAGTTATAGTGGACATAAAAACAAGAGTTCGCTGGCATTATATAATTATACGAATTACACGAATATAATTATATCTTATTAATTTCTTGAGATACGCGATTCTTTTAATACAGTCTTTGCTGTGCTCTAGAGGATCTTTGTGATATTCGAGCTCTGGTTGAATGATATGTGTCGCAGTTTAAATACATTTTGTAGTTGGCAATTATGAAATGCTCTGTTAAAAGCAAGGGGAGTTTTTATGTCCGTTGCAGTTCTTTTGAAACTGAACTTGTTTGAATTGACTGAGCTCCGT